GTTTTGACTACCGCTGACTGCTTCGTGTGCCCGCGCGGGCGAGCGGGCTCCGAACAGACGTTTTGTTTTGTTTGCTGCTAAAACATCATTTACAGTTGTAGTTGTCTTTAAAAACAACCTCCTGGGCTTACTCTGTAGGATTTTTACACAAATTCTAGGTAGGTTTGCTATGTTTTACGAGTCCTTTATACGCTCCCGGTGGCTGTCACGATCGATCGAGTTTCCTTTGAAATTTGGGAAACATTGAATTCTTAAATACATAGAAGTCACTTAAGTTGTTCTAGCAGACAAAGCCTCTTTTATATGCGAACTTCGTCTCCAACAGTACAAAAGTGATCTTGCGCGAAAAAAGCCGCGCGCCGCCATATTTTGTTTCGGTCTTTCGGGTTTTAAATCTCACGCCTTTATCGTGCGTGTTACACACGCGTGACGCACGATGGTGATCTACTCCCCACGCGGGAAAACTAGTACCAGCCACCTTAATGATTAAAGTTAAACTAACTTTAAGAGCTCGGTCATACTTAATAATATACTATCCCTAATATATATACTATTGCAGGAAAAAGATAACTGGCGTGTATTACAATATCCTTTTCTTCCGAAACTTCGTTTCATCCAGATGAGGATTCGTGAGGGCCAGCCAGTGAGGCGGGGAATGTGCAAAAAAATCAAACTAATTCTTCACTCTGAGATTCGAATTTGCCATAAGGTTGATAAGGAAGTATGTTATAGTACAGATTTTCTTGAAAAGGCTGCTTATAAACAATTACTGGATGAGGTTTTTGTGATATCCAGAATAATCAAGGTCAAGGTAGGGGTTATCAGCCGAAGCCGAAGGCTGAGGCTGAATAATAACCTTGATTATTCTGGATATCACAAAAACCGAGTCTAATAATTGTTTTATTACACATTGAACGAAAAAAAACCTGGAAGTCATGTTTTTGCTTCTTCACTTACGGCAAGTAACACAAAACGCGTGAACTTGACATGATTACCCTTAGAAATCATGCACCGCGGTCATACATGACATGATTACCCGTGACCTTGAGTGTCCTTGACATGATTACTGTACAATCTGCAACTAGATGACGTCACAGGCGCTGAATTCGAAATTCACTGTACGTTTTCAGCCAATCAGAAAGAGATCGTGAGTTCAGTGTATAATAATATCTATACACGTACCCTCCGCTGAAATCTGGCTCAAGTTTTAGTATTGTTGGTCAGTTATTAGATCGTGCCATAACACTTGAATTTTCCTAAGGTGTGATAACCCTGATTTCTAGACCAGCTTGAATAATAAACTTTCTGTCTGCCGCTTGCATCCCCAAACCTCAGCTGCTTAACTGGAAGCCGTGTCTTGTCAACGAGAAGACCGCTGTCTTCACGCCATGTATTGTCATTTGCATCACAATTGCAATTACGCCAGGAGTTGGCACATGAGTTGGTCATCCCGCATGCGCACTTACCACTGCCAGGCGACGCTCCACCCCAGTACGTCATCTTACCAGAATCACGTGACACCCACCAGGCATATCCACCATCGAACATCCTTGAATTATAGCACTCGTACTTGATAAACTGTTCACAGTGTGAGGAGACTCTAGTTAAACTCGCCAGCTGATTAAGATCCGCTCCTGTATAATCTATGTTGAGCGTGTAACTCCCAGGACTGCTATACCCACTCACCAACGTTCTGCTCTCACCGTTATGGCTGATGACTGTCACGCCAACTCCATTTTTGTCACTCATGTCACAATAAACTGTAAACGCTGCTAGGCCTCCCGCGCCATCCGGATCAATGACGTAACTTCCGCTTACACTGCTGACGTATTTTCTTATCACAGAGCAGGAAGGAGCGTTTAATAGAGAATTGATTTTGACTCTAGCTTCTATTGTTGACAGAGCATTGGATGCCCTGCAGGTATAATTTCCTTCGTGTGATTTCTTGATGTTCTGAATGAACAATGTTCCATTCAGCAGAGCACTGGACTCTTTAGGGAGTGAAGACTTGCCATCCTTTGTCCAAGCGATTGTAGTTCTCAGGTCACTCGCGGCCACACACGGCAGCACAACACTTGTACCGATCATAGGCGTCAGCTCTTGAGGAGGGCGAACTTTGAACAGGATTCTAGAGAATACCATCAATTGAGCCGTGTCTGTTACTGATCCTAGAATATTCTCTGCTTTACATATGTATGTTCCTCTGTCCTTCTTTGTCACACGGTATATTTTCAGTGTTCCATTAATCACTTCAGTTCTGTTTTCGGGTAATCTACCGACTGACTTGGACCACGTGATACTTGGTTGCGGATGACCAGTAGCAGTGCAGGTGGTGGTGACGTTCCGTTCTTCCTTGGCCAGAAGTCCGTTGGATGACAACATGACACGAGGAGCGACTGCAAAGAAATTTAACTTTAAATGAGGAAGTTATGATCCACTGTCTGTTGGAAACATAATTCTCAGACTGTCGGACACAAGGTCAGGATGAAGACTACTACACCAATGTCTTATAACCTCGTTCACAGCTACATGTATCGGACAAAGTAAATGCCGTGCCACTCAGCAACTTGGGGTCATTTACACAGGAAGCCACTGAAGTTAATTTTTCCCGAAAAGTTGCTTTAAGATGTTTTTTTTTTAAGGTAGCTTTTTATTTGTCTTTCTTCCTCTGAGAAACTCTGGAACATGCAACAAACAGCATAGATAAACTAGTAGTAATCAGAGATTATGAGAGTGCGTTCGACGCTCTCACTTTAATATATAATTATATATCGTAAGTAAATGATTTCACTAGCTGACTTTCAACCTTTGTCTATTGCTAAAATCAACATTTTTCAGCAGCAACCGAGGTTTTACA